ACCGAGTTGTGAGTTGGAGGAGTGGAACCAGTGTACGACGGATATGTTGTCTTTTAAGGGGTATCTCCACCGGTGGATGGCGCAGACGACGCAGATGGCCCCGTTTGTGAGGGGGGTTGTCATGCCGGTGTTGAGGGAGTCGGTGAGGAGCATGGCGGAAGAGTTGTTTGCCGGATGGGACGTGTGGGTTTAGGTGGAATAGGGGCCAGTATGATGGGAACACGGGGGCCGGGCAGCAGATGAATGCGCTGGGGGCCTTGGTCAGTTTGCTGGTTGAACAACCGGAGGTTAAGGAGGCTGTGACGGCCAAGAATGGGGGGACGAGTGCTGGGGATCCGAATGCGGGACGGGAGGGGGAAGTGGGGGAGTGGGAGGGGGAGAGCGAGGTTATTACCGATGCGGATAGGGTTGGGGCGGCGGTGGTGACGATTTTGATGGTGGGGACTGTGATGGGGATGATGATTTGGGTTAGTGCGACTACGGGGGAGGAGGAGGAGTATGCGAGGGTTATGAGGGGGGAGAAGAAGAAGGGTAAGGGCAGGGTGATTGAGAGGACATGATATTGGTTTTGTTGGAGGAATGTCACCTGGAGATATCGCTGTTGTTCATTTGGGAGACTGATAAGACGTAGGGATATAAGAGGTACATCAAATGTAACAGCGGCTCGGCAATACGAAATGATTTATATACGAGCAACTACCGATGCGGTGACAGCGGGATTCGGGGGCGTCGGGTTGGGAAAGGGTGTGATGTGCATTGCTCCGCCATCTCACTGACGAATGGATGGGTATGCTGTGCCAATGATGCTGGCGTTTCAGAAGGGCTGGGACAATATCAGACCGTGTATTTTATTCGCTACTGATCTTCTTTCTCATCGAGCCCGCCCGTGTTGACAAGAAAATAGGCCTGGCTTGGCTGCATACGGCAGACACAGAGAATATGCAGGTTTCGGCGCCGAAGGTCTCAGCTTACCCCTCGCTTTCTAGGAGATGATTCCCTTGCTTTAGCCATCAGTTGTGATCGGTGACTGTCCGACTGATGTTGGGAACTGTGAGAGCTATGGTTTTCGGGCCCGAAACAAGTTTCTCACTGCAGCTGGTGAGCTGGATTTGCGGTGAACGTTTGGATAGGCGCCGATCTGACGTACATAGTGCAGGCAGGGATCTGCGTCGTGGTGGTGGTGGTGGTGGTGCTGTGTAGCCGTAACATTCGGATGAGGCGGGGATTGGATTGGATTCCATGCTGACTGCGGCCGGATCGGGTCGGGCGGTTCGTGTTTGTCTCTCCTTTAAACTGGGATGGGATCCCCCTTTTCCTTTCCGTTTTTTTCTCTCCCTCTGCTGTCAACAAACCGCAAAGATGGCACCTGCATTACCACCACGACGCTCACGGATCACAAAACGAGACGCCCTTGGCCCTGGATTTGACGATGACGACGACGACGATGGATACAACCCTTGGAGCGACTGGAATGAGAAGTCGTATAACGGACCTGGAGGGGGGAACAGCGGATCGGATGAAGGAATTTCGAGCGGAGATTTTGGGCGTGACGGGGAGAGGAACAACATCGACTTTGACCTTGACGACAGAGTCACCAGCCGGGACAATGGTCTCTCTGGCGGGCAAATAGCGGCGATTGCAGTGTCGATTGTGGTCTTCTTCTTGTTGGTGTCGGGGTTGTGCTTCTGGAGAGATCGGCGGAGGAAGAAGCGGAGGCTGGCGGAAGAGCAGACGTTGGCCGATGATGGAGTGAAGAGGGATGTGTATATGAAGGAGCAAGGAGAGGGGCTAAGCCCTGTGTCGCCTATTAGCACCCAAGGAGTGGGAGGGACGACGCCAACACCGGGACAGGGTATAGGGGGACAGGATGCGCCACCACCATACGAGCCGAGGCAGCCTGAAGCTGCGCATGTTGCGGGAGGAGATACAGCAACAGACAGCGGCAATTGGAGACAATCCAGACTTGGGACAGAGGAGGATGATATCATGGTTACGGATGGGATGCCGCCTGACAGTGGGAGACAACGAGAGGGAAAAGGGAGTGGGGGACTTGAGATCGGGACTTGAACAGTAGACTCTAGGCATCGGGGGCAAAGGAACGCGTTCCATTACGTGACTGGTGGTGAACAAATATCTCTTTCAATTCACCGGTTGACCATCATGCCGTTGATCATGTCCCGAGCTCTTAACTCTGTCCCGAAGGCGCAAGTTGCTAGGTGTTGGTGGCAGCGTCCTAGTGGCTCGTTCTGTCCTTCTTCCCTTGCCTTCCTCCTACTTTGATGTTTATTCCAACGATTGCCCCATACCTCCTTCGGCTCAAACACTGAATCTCTTCAACCGCTAACGCCTTCATGACTTCAAAGCTCCGCTACGTCCTTCAAAACGCTGCTGGAGAGCCACCAACACTACTGCTCAGGTGTCGGAACATATTCCCACACTGATACTCCGCCAGGTGTGACGCCGAAACCAGTAAGATGCCCCATCTGCCGGGAAAGCCTCGGGCGTGTCCGTGTATTGGTCCTTACGCTGCTCTTTATGCTGCTCTTTATGCTGGTCATGTGTGGGCTGCTTCGATTCAGTCGATGTTGGAATAGCTGGCTTGGATTCCGGCGGTGTTGATGGATTGGGGGTCTCGTTGTTCTGCTTCTCTCGCTTGATAAACGACCTCAGCGTTGACTTTGATCTGGTAGGCACCTCAACATTCTGGTTCGCCAGTTGCGTCGCGCGGTCGTTTTCTTTCTCCCTCTCCTTATCCTCTCCCCCCTACTTCTGCTTCCGGCTCTGCTCCACCCTCTTCTGTTCCAACAGCCATGGTTTCATATCCCGGATCTCCATGATTGCCATCAACATCACTGCCTTTCGAAAATTGATGTCCTCCAGATCAGACGACTGGAAAGAGATCTGTGACCCGGCAACAGCGCGCTCCTTGAAGCAGCATTTTCCCAGATACAACGCCGCATCCACAACGGCCCACTGGTGGTCTGGCAAGGCACTGCGATCGTCGACAATCTCCCGAAAGTCTTCCGGGATGACCCTCTGGGCATCCTTGGGCCGCTGCTTGGCCGACTCGAGGGCTTCGAGGACGGCCTGATGGACCTCCTGCGGGGTGAAGTTGTGGCCCTCAGCCCGGAATTCCTCAAAGTCGGCAAAGAACTGGAGGAGATCTGACTTCGCACACTTTGACCAGAGCGCCCGGTCGCGGTAGTACTCGGCCGGGTCGTATGCGTTCACGAGCGCCGGGGACTCGTCAACAAGCGGCGAGGGGGCCGGAGCCTCGCCCGCGGGCGGCAAAATCTTGGGCGCTTCCTTGCGCTGCTTCGAGGTCGACCTCGCAGGCGGGGGAGCTCTGCTGGGCCTAAAACCATGGCTTGCGAAGAACGCCAGCGCGTTTGTTTCGAGATTGACCGTCTTTCTGTATCTCATTTTGTCCTGTGCTTTTGCTGCTGGATTGAGGAACCCGATCGATGTTGCCGAGCACTGAACAGAAATGCCCTTCGTTGAGGATCTGTTCAGAGCCTAGGTGCAGGGCCTCCACCCCTTTTCCCATATGGAAGGAGCGGCATCAAACGGGGAGACATAGGTACCCGCCCACGGTTAAGACTGCCCAAAATTCCCCTGTAGCACACAGTTAAACCCCAAGCATGTCTTCCAGATTGCCTTTGGATACCTACTAACTTGTACCAACTTCGTATCCACAACAGAATCGACGGCTGCCATGGCTTTACCGATTCCCTGGACACTCCGGCGGCTGCCAAAGCTCCCTGATCCCGCAAGAGGCAAAGAGCAACCTGAATCAACCCCATCCAGCTACACAAGCTGGTTCCGCGTCAACCTCAACTCTGTCAACCTTCGCTCCCAGTGCCATCGACTTTTTCCCATGTTGGCTCGCATTCCTCGAGCAGGAGACGCACACCTTTAAAAGGCTTATTGGAGAGGGGGCGGTGGATGTGGGGAGAAGGTGGCGCTCCAGTTGATAGTGTAGGCGCCTATTTAACACTCAGACATCTCTTTGTTCGTCTGAAGAGCCGGTACCACACCCACTCAGCTCTTAAAGACCGGCTAACAGCTGAACGAAATTCGAGAATGTAGCAGCCATCCAATAAGTGCCCGCCACTCCTATCCGACATCCCGACGCCAGCCCCCACCGATCCAGTGCCGTCGAACCTGATATCCTCGAAACACGAGTAAAGATTCCAGGTTACCAGTAGCTTGGATCTAAAGTCGGTTTCTCGTGTTTGTACAACAGTGGCGCGCTAATCTCCGACGCCAAGGCGTTCCCCTGATGCTTTTATCATGCGCGCCGCCCGCCCTGAGTAAGCCCAGGCCCGTAAGCTGGCCTAGCCTACAAGCAAACCACAAACTTCCACCGCCCTCAGGGGGCCATTCATAAAACCCGAGATGGCCACAGTTCTACCTCCCAGATCGCGCAAGGAGATTTCGCTTCCCACGTCACGGCATATACGTATGGGTAGTCAACATCAGAGGATATGGGGGATGAAGCATCGTTGAGGACAGTCGAACGCCCTATCTGCGCTGCTATTGCCCACGAAACTCGGTTACCGGAGTGCTACGACGACTGGATCTTGCCAGAGTGTTACGACCATTGGGATCTACCAGAGGTCTACATTCCAGTTGCCAATCCCATCGAACCCGGCCAGCGACCGTCTAGGCGAGACAGGGCGAACAAAGTACAGGCACCTGCAGCTTTGGGCGAAAAGCAGTCCCCTCCTCCAAGATCCTGTTGGCGACGACACTGGGCTTGGTGGATACTTGCTGTTGTACTCGTTGTGGGAGGGGCAGCTGGCGGTGCCATAGCCGGTGCTCTCACTCTAACGCGTCGCCAAGGTTTGGACGGCTCAGTTGTATCAGCGTCACCAACACCCATCGAAACGTTATCTGGGTAGGTTCTACCTACAGGTTACCGGCACTGCCATGCTTCAAGATTCTAATCGTTCTAGGACCACATCCCTATTTGGATTGACCCAGCCCCACGGCGCCACGTCGGGCGCGGCATCACAAAACACACAAGGAACAACAACAACAACAACAACAACAGCCGGGATCCAAGCTCCTACCGTGCCGACTGACTCGCGCTCAACGTCTACATCCACAGGCTCAGGCTTCTTACCTTCAAAGCCACAGATACAAGAGACCACCACTTCAGCAACAGCCCCTCAGAAAGACAGCGAGACCGGTACGTTGGTGGCAACCCACACTCAACGGTCAATCTCCTTGCCAGCGCCAGGCACAACAGTCGAGGGATCCCCAGCAACGCCAATCAAAAGTCCTTCACCGTCCTCCAACAGTCCTGAGCCCGCCCCTCTGATGGGTCAGCCATCGAAGCCAACACGCGCTGTCCAGATCGGAAGGGCATCTCGGCCCGGAGAGGCCCGTGACTTGCTAGAGATCGCTTTCTATCCCGAGAGTCCATGTGACTACGAAGTAATAGGAAACTATGGCACCTGGGTCTGCGACACGCCGTTCGCGCTGGGTGGAACAGAATACCAGTGGAAGGGCTGTGGTAGCTATACCTGGTTGGTTTGGGGACCGACTCAGGAGAGATTTGGAGCGTGTGCGGATAAGGTGACTGCTAAGACGCTTTGCGGCGGTTTGTTGGTGATAGGGGTTTGGTTGTGTAGTCCGGAATAGAGCCAAGCTGACATCTAGAAGATGGCGGCTTTGAGCAACCCAGGGGGGTGTCGCCAGGTTCTTGTCAAAGCAAATTTATAATCATGCTAAAAGCTATCGAGATCTCAAGCCACGGCGGTTGGCTAGCCCATCAGATACGGGGGTATACCTGTCAGGTTTTCAGCCGGTGCGGCAACGATGCACGATCACCACCAGTAAAATTACCGCCCCTAGAGCCTTAATCCTCAGACAGCAACTTCTGGCCTAGCCCGCTGAATTCTGATAAATTGGTACCAGCCACGCCGCACGATCTGCATCACAATTCAATCTTTTCGATCACCTGTGCAGAAACGAGGCGTAGATATTGCATGTTGCCGCCTTGACCCAGATTCTCAACGCAAGGGGACCAAATGTCAAGAGTGTTAAATAATTGAAGTGCCCCTAGCTGGCGTGCCTCTTTGCTGTTCCGGCAGATGTTCGACTGTTTTGGGAGAGATGGAAAAGCCTACTCCAGCTGAGGCCATGGCCACCAAATGCTTCACCCACTCCGCTGAAGTCTCGAATCTACCGGAATGTGTTCACAACATAAGTAGCGATCTCCCTGAGTGCTACGACCATTGGAATCTTCCCGAAGTCTGCGATCATTCGAACCTTCCTGAGGTGTGCAGCTCGCTCGATCGCGACAATCGATTACCACCTCAGAGCCCCAACACTTCTCAAACCCCATGGTGGCGACGGCACCGCATATTGCTTGTCGTCGTAGCTTTGTTGCTTCTCGCAGGGCCTGTAGGCGGTGTCGTTGCGGGTGTCCTGGCTTCAAGATCAGCGCAGGACACATCCATTGCGTCGGTGATGCCCTCAACAAGTACCATTCCCCCACCCGATCAATCCTCAACAACTACCATTCAGGAAACCTTCCCGACATCTACCTCCAGCAGGAGCACAGCTGCTACAATAACAGCCGGCCCATCAAGTGACGCTCCTGGTCTTAGTCCACCGAGTTTGCCGGAGCCGGCTTTACAAGTCTTTCCGATTAACGTTGGGGAGCCACCGGATACCTCACCGCTATAGTCATCACTCTTAACAAATACTGGCGCAATTTCGGCGTGGAGCATTCGTTAGGTGGAGGTGTCAAACGATACCTCAAGGGACCAAAGCATGCCGGAGGAAGTGATCGCGAGGCCCTACTTGACGTCTACTGGGACATGGAAGATTGCTGATCTGGAAGAACACCTTTCAGTCTGTGCTACTGCTACGTTGTTCGAACGTACGCCTTTCTGATTGCGAAACGATTAGCTCTTGAAGATGAAGCGATTACAGCTCGGGGCTCAGCGGCTGACAACCTGGCAACTTACCTACCTCGACGAATGGGTGAAACGGGAAGTGCGGACTGAATAAAGAGAGGAAGAGTTTGAAGGGGAGGAGGTAACAATGGGAGTGGTGATCATGTTCGCCATGTGTGTATCTGCGGGTTTAAGTGACCTGAGAGTGCGGCATAATGATTCGAGTTTCCTCCATTGCAGATCTGCGGATAGCAATATCTTCTTGGGTGACTGATATGTATGTGATCGTCACTGAAGACATTTCCCGGCCGTATCGTGCCATTTCTTGCACACGATCCCACAAGAACATCATGTCAAAAGAGCCAGTCAGGTGCTTCCAAGCCCATCACAAAACCACCTCAACGTGGTAAGCTACCGGTGCGCACATTATTACCCGTCCCCCATCATCAAGAAGTCTGAACCCGGCACCAGTATCCGACGCCATGATCTCCAACCATTCACCCCCTTGACAAAATACACTCACCCCCGGCCGTATGTCCCCTTTTCCAGCCACCTACCCATTCCGGTGATGATGCGCATAGCTTTACTCGATGACGAAGCTAACAGTACCCCACACTACAATGCGTGACCTGACGTGCAGCATAGTAATAATTACCACACGAAGCATCCCGACAAACAGGCCACACAATGCCCACCACCACCCCGTCGTCTTCCAGTTCGTAGAAGCCAGGATCGAAGAGCGTGACACCACTCGTGGAGAGGGACAATAGGGGGTGGTGCGCCTTGCCTGGTAGCTTCCAGACAGCTACTATGACTGATTATCCTCCTGTAGGTCACAGGTTAGACATCCGACGGTCTCAAAGCAGCGGTTGAGCTGTATCGTTTCTGAATCACAGCCCCGAGAAGAAATGTCAACGGGGATGTACGAGATGTGTTTGGCTTCGCTGCTGTCGGGATCGCGTGTCTGGACTGCGTTGGTTGTTGCCGTAGTTGAGACAAGTACAGGACGGACTGCTGAAGCACACTATCGCCTTCTTCAGTGCGTCGTTGGTGGAAGCACCGGAGATGATTGAGCCAGCGGCATTCCCAAGGTCTTCTTCGAACCGTGACCGTATGGTACTTGAACAGAAGCGGCCACGGCTGTCCATCAGGAGGGCGTGATTTTGTAGTTGTAAGTGTTGGTTCCTTCGAGGATGAGCCGAGGGATGTAGGCTTCGGGAAGATCATGCCTGGTATCACTGCGATGGAGCCGGTGCTCGCATTTGATCTCGCGGTCGGTTTGAGGGTAGGGTTCCTGTTGGTGTTGAAGATGGTCTTCGATATCAGACCACTGAACACCTCGGTGTTCGCAAAGCCGCAAGACGCCCTCCCCGTCGATACAGATGCGCTCGTTCTCGGACAACCTCATCTACTCTTTCAAAAATGCTCTGATGGAATGGAGGACTCGGAAACCGGAACAGAACAGTGTATTGAGGGTGTCAACAGTGAAGTGAACTTGCGCCTGTCCCACGGCTCGTTGTTTGTGAATTTAACCTTCAAGTCCTGGGGTCTCATTTGGTCGGTTAGGCTGCTCAAGGCATTGTCTTGATATATTGAACAGTCGTGCTGGCCAGTCGAGACAAACTTAAGATCACTGCACCGAACGCAGGACTCGCAAAGGCGGTCCTTGAGCATAAGATATCTCAACTGATACCTATGATTCAACCAAGGTTAGCTTCCAATCCTGAAACGAGAACTACTCTAAATCGTACTGACCATCCGCTGGCAGAAGCAGGTCTCAAGCCATTATAGTAATCCCGAGGTCCTCTCAAAAACGCGGTTTTCCACCAAGGCACCAAAGAACAATGGCACAGCTGCTTTGGCGTAGACAAGACGGCGGGGACGGTCGGAAACCTGACCCAAGCATAGCCTGGTGAAGAGGTCATTGTCCAAACGGTCGACTAGCTTGACCAAGATCTCTTCGGGGACACGATACAACGGACTATTTTCAACGTTCTATGCGGTGCACCAGAGGAACGCTTCAACGCTGGCCTTGATGTTCGGCTGTCCGTGGGCGTCTGCTTTAGGCATCGTGTCGATTTGTCGACTGTTGTTCGAGTCCGGATATCTCGAGTTGAAGCCAAACGGGGGTGACGATGGCCATGTGAGTGCAGGTGTGGCGAGTGTGAAGGGTAAAGTCTCAGTGGTGGCATGTGAGAAAACAAATCAAACCCCATTGCTACTGCCAGTGTCAAAGTCGCTGTTTACTTGTCCCCTCAGCAGCACCCCCCAAAGACCACGAAAGAATGCTATGAACTGAAGGTTGATTGCCGCCAAGTCTCACACGTTCAAAGTAGCATTTGGAATAACAGCCATGATGCATGGATATTTATAACGTACATTATAAGCGAGTGAAACAGATAAGCGAGTGAAACACTTTCCACCGCGTCGCGTATCCTCCACCCTCAACCTTGAATTCTTCTACAACGAACCATGGCTTTACCTTCCTACGAGGCCAGAATTAATCTTGCACTTGAAGCTCTCCAAAATGACCATACTCTTGGTCTTCGGGCTGCAGCGAAGATCTATAGCGTTAGCCCCGCGACACTTATGCGACGACGCGACGGCAGGCCTGCACGACGCGATACTACGCCCAATTCGAGAAAGCTTACGCAATTAGAAGAGGATACTATTGTTCAATACGTTATTGAGCTATGTGCGCGAGCTTTTCCACCAAGATTACGTAGTGTGGAAGATATGGCCAACCAACTGCTACGCGCCCGCGACGCGCCCTCTGTTAGCAAGCTCTGGGCACACAACTTCGTTAAACGCTAGCCATAGCTCCGTACGCGTTTTACGCGTAAATACGATTACCAGAGGGCTAAGTGCGAGGATCCAAAGGTCATTGCCGAGTAGTTTACGCTCGTACGGAATACTAAAGCTAAGTACGGTATTATAGATAATAATATCTATAACTTCGACGAGACTAGGTTTATAATAAATATTATTTTCGCGGGTATAGTAGTTACGACTTTGGACGGCTTTAGTAAAGTAAAACTGGCCTAGCTTAATAACCGCGAATAGGTAACGGTAATTTAAAAAATTAATACCCTCGGCTAAACTATCCCTCCTTGTATTATTTTAACCGCGTAATATTACTTTATTAATTAATATATTAAATATAATTTACTGTTTATTTAATATATTATAATTATTAATAATAATTAAACTTACGGTAGGTTTAAATTAAATTAAGTATTTCGATTATTATATAGCGTCCCGTATAAAGGGCAAATACCGGTTATTAATCCTCGACGGCTACGAAAGTTATTATTCGACCGAATTCGAACGTTATTATTAATAAGATAATATTATTACGCTTTATATACCTTTATACTTCTCTTACCTTTTTTAATTATTTAATATTAATTACTTTAGGCCGTTAAAATAAGCGTACGGTTATTAAATCGAGGACTTAATATATATATATATTAACTATATAAATAAGCTCGAGTTCCTCTATACCTTCCGCGAAGCCTTCTTCGCCTCTATAATAAAGAAGAATATATAGGGTAGCTTTACGGGTACTAGCCTTATACCGTACGATTTAAAGAAAATACTTTTTAAACTAAATATAAAGCTTTATATATTAATACCCCCGACCTTACGGCCCGGCACTATATAACTTTAGGTCTCCTAAACACTATATAACCCTCGAAAAACCAACTTATAATTAACGCTTATTAAGACTCGTATTACTAACTATTAAAATAGCTCCCCGACTTTAATACTAGCTACGGTAGACTAGCTTACTAAAGGTATAACGGCTATAATGCACTAGGTGGCTCTCCTTCGTGCAGAGGTCTCTTCGCTCCGTAAGGCCAATGAGGCACTAAGCAAGCGCCGGAGAGCCAAAAAAACACGTGTGAGGCTTGGAGGGTAACTTACTGTACAAGAGGCACAGGATCTACTGGATCAGAAGGCCGTGGGCGAGCAAGTAATCCAGGAAAATCGACAAAGTGGTGGTGGTACAGGGGGGTCTCGTACGAAGACTCAGTGCTGTGGTGTATGCGGCAAGCCTGGCCATAATGCGCGCACTTGCCAGGAGGCTGCAGATGCCTCAGACTCAGCTGTTTCTGATGTTATTATAGTTGGTTCTTAATATTGTTGTATAGCAATCGAGGTTAGTTGTGGTAGACTGGTAGAAAGTGTTTCACTCGCTTATCTGTTTCACTCGCTTATAATGTACGTTAGTCGCTAATTTCTCTTGATAAACTGGGTGAAAAGCGTCAATATAACGACCGGCAAGGGGTGCCGTTCATGTTCTCTCATCAAGACCCAGCTACTGAGACCCTCGAAGTTGGTCAACGGGTACTGAACGATAGGCACCTACCTACCCAGTCAGTCGCCATGCAGAGATACTTCACATTTAAATTAAACACAATCGATATTCGCTATAATACAGCCAGGAGCCATCACTGACAACCATGGTGGAGGTCATCTCGCTGTTTGGAACGGACCACGTTGATATCCACCTTCTTGATATCCTCTTAACCCCTTCCCGTCATCTACCTGTAACATGTCGACACATCCCTCCATCAATAGCGCCAATCACGGGGGGCACTAGAAGGTCTTCTGTCACCACAGTGTGTCGTCTGATATCTTGCATAATGATTCCCGCAGGAGATATCGCGGCACACAGGCCACACGTTCCCGACAGTCGTGGTGTTGTCGTTGAGCTCGTAGGAAGTCGGGTCCAGGGCATGTAGCCACTCGTGGGGGGGAATTATTGGGTCCAAGTGCGCCAAACCGGCCAGATATGGCAATTCCGGCTTGGCGCCTAGCCTACCACCGATCTTTCGGCTGTATCTTATGGTGAGGCATGGCCGCTTCGTTTGGCCCTTATCGGACCAGGGAAAGTATCCGAGACACCGATCGATTTCAATGCGCTTAGCAAGCATCCCGTGGGCAAAACTGTCGTACTCAAGGACTGATGCATGTTTCTTGCCGGCTTGGGAGGGCGGGCAATCCTCAAAGAGACATTGAAAATAGCCCTCTGAATCTTTTGGTGGTTGTTGAACCCCGGTATGATTAAGACAGGTGCACGAAGACGCTGGAAAGCATGACATCGCTCTTTTGAGCGCGTCGCCGTTTCGTGTGCCGGTAAAGATGGTGCCAGCCACGCCCCTGAAGTCGACTTCGAACATCGCTCGGACCTCATCCTTATCCAACTGACCATTTGTATCAAGTGTCAGGGTGTGGTGGATGGTCCAAGACCAATCGATATCATATTGCATGTTCGAGTTCCCCGACACCGTGAGACGTGGCCTAAAACCGTATTTCGGTGCATGTTTGTTGCCTGTGCTACGTCTCTCGTGCTCGCACATCAGTTGACATGTTATTGGGACTAGTTGACTGCGATTGTCCGGATTATGCTGTCGAAGAAAGTGGGCTTCAATGTCGGACCACTTGATATGCTGGTGCTCGCATAGCCGGAGGACTCCTTCCCGGCCGATGCAAATACGGCTTCCGTCGCTCTTCTCTGTCTGTGCCTTGGAGAAGGCTCGAACCGAATGCTGTGTGGCACAGCCTGAGCAATGCAAGCGATTTGATTCATTGGGGCAGGCGAACTTGCATCCATTCCAGGTCTTGTTTGTAGTTTGGATGACCTCGAGGGGCGCACTGGGGGTATTGATTCTGGGTGTCGAGACGGGCAAGACGTCCACACGCGGCGAGGGGTCCGGCCTGCTGGTGCCTGGGTAGCCAGTGGAAGCAAGCACCAGGTCGCTGTGTTGGATACAGTCTCTACAGAGTCGATCCATGCGCAGAAGGTACCTAAGTCGGTCCCTACCCGTCCTCGTTAGCCGCCAATCCATATCTGTGTTAAAACAAATCTTGCAGACGACTTACCAATCTCTGTCTGCGTGGCGTGTCAGGTGCCAATAAGCTTCCATGAGGTGACCTTGGAGCCGCTCATTCTAACTGCGCCCAAGAAGAATCTGGTACGTAGAGAACGGTATTTTTGAATAAACAATCCGTCTAAGGCTCTTCGAGACTTGGCCAAGAATGAGGCGGGTGACCGGATCGCCGTCGAGACACTCGAGAATCATTATAAGCAGCTTGTCTGGGATGCGATACAGCCAGCCGTTCTTCATATTTTCGGCTGCAGCCGAAGCGAAATCACCATGCGTCAACGGAGCACTCCCAATAGCCGTCAGAGTCATCTCGAAGATATTTCTCCGCCTGGCGCGCGTGACCTCTTTGAAAGGTGTCTGTCCGAGGTCCTTTGGGAAGGCGATCAATCGATATTGAAAGGTATGATTCAAGTAGCTGGTGAATAACGGCAAAGGGTGTAATTTACATGCAAAATCAAGTACGAGAGAATACCATGGAAAGGCTGTTGGTTGCGGGTGCGAGGAGACGGACAAAGTGGAGGAGAGAAAAGTGTTCCAAGAGCAGTTTCCATAGTAGGTGACATGGATGTCAACAACAAGCCATGGGGCAAGAGCTCGCCGGGCAATGATTGAGGGATGCTGTCACCGGGCGGATGCCGTCATATGTGGATCCAGTCCATCAGCCTTATTAGTGAACCATGGCGCGGCTGCATCTTGGCATTCCACATCGGTCACAAGGCTGACCAGAAGCAACACAACCTAAAGCTGCATCTGCTCAACAGCAGCAGCAAGATCGTTGCCAGTGCGGCGTGCCTGCCTCCGTCTTTTCATCTCGGCCTGAAGCTCCTTCCACGCCGCGACGCAGCGAGCGTGCTTTTGTCTCTTAATCTCCGCCTCATTGCCGGCTGACGTTTCATTACCTGCAGAAGCTGAAGGGCAAGCTTCGCCGGCATTCTCCCCGCTTTCCTCATGGTCCCAACGTGTGGGAAAGTTGGGCAGGGAGATGCTAGAGGGCAGGGTACTACTGGGCAAGGCTACGACAAGAGATTAGTTGTAATCACAAAATAAACAAGATAATGGAGGTGAATACCATTGCCGGGAGTCGCATTGCCCATGGCGGCTCGATGGGTCAGCTTGCGCTGCCTTCTGTGATGGGGTTTCCACGGCTTTTGGCGGGCAGGGGATGGCATGGCTGTCGATGGCAAGCCTTGGGACTGCGACACGGAACTTTCGGTTGAGGGGAGGGTCGGAAACCGACAGACGCGCTCGGAGCCTGTATCGAGCGCGGCCTCTTCATCCTCTGACAGTACATTGGGGTGCTGGCCTGGTTCTCGCAAGTGTTTTGGATCGTCGTCCAGATCCATTGCGGCGAGACTGTCGTCGAACGCCATCATACTCGCGAGTTGCGCTTCATTTTTCCGCTGCCTTTCGCCGACTTGCTGCGAGTGAAAAGGTTCCATTGGGGTCGCAAACTCAAGGCTTTGTCGGACAGATGCGGTAGGCAATGAAAAATGGGTTGAGGCTGCGTTTCAGGCCAGATGTGATGAAGCTGTTGAGTGGAAGAAAGGCGATGTAGGGGAAAGGCGAGGTCGCGTTGGAAGTCAAGGGAATGTGAGAATACTAGGTCGGCTGATCAAAGTTTGATGTAGCTGATGATGGGCCGGCAACCTACATCCTCTGTGCAAGACCCAAAGAATGGGATGACTCGTTTGCCCATTTATCTGCGCCGTTGAAAGTCTATAGAGAGACGTCTTCCAAAAATGCCCCAACATCAACATCATCACCCACGGGCTGCCTACTCCGACGAACAAATGGTGAACTCCCCTGGCGAGCCACAAACACCGACAAAGCGCCACCCATCGTTCAAATCCCCAGTACCCACTAGTCCGCATCATCCCACTGCTTCAAACTCTTCCTTCGACGCATCAGGCGAATTCAGGTACTCCCCATTCTCGGCATGTGTAACTGGAACGACTATTCGCTGTTTTTTCTAACTGTAGGTGCATATCTGAGGGTGCTTTCTTACCATTCCTGGCTAGAACATGCTGCGCGGTGGGGCACAACAACGACTTTTGGTGGGTGTTCAGAGACGGCTTGGCAATACGATGGGTCAGTGAAACAGTGGTGGCTGCTTCGCTCTGGCTCTGTGCATTGTGGTCGACGTTCTGCTGGCGCTCATGACAGTCCATGGTTTCTTTTGAATGACTCTGAGAGGGTTGGAGTTGTGAAGAGAGCTGGATGCAGGGATACATTTTCACCAGATCAAGGCTGTGGCCTAACGATCAATAATGCCCGCCATTGTATTGTCATGACCCTGCCGGCCAATAGGTATCCATCGCAGTGGCGGTCACCTATATCGATTTTGCACTTCCAGATGTATGAGCTATGGGGAAAGACGGTCAGGTCTCACAAAAGCCCATGCAACCACCGACCATTCCGAGCCCGTCCATCCTTCCCTCGGTACTCTCCATCTAATTCCATGTTTCCCATGATTAGATATTCATTCCCTTGATCTTGAATCTCTGCCGTCGGCTTGCGCGCCTGAGCCTCGGCCTCCCGAGCCTTCCTTCGTTTCAAAATCTCTTCATTGATATTCTTCGCGCTCTCGTTGCGCCGAGCCTGCCTCATGCGATTAATTCTTGCGTCTAATTAATCCCAAGGATCCCGACCTGCCTCTCGGTAGGCTGGCACCTCGGGAGCTAGAGAACGATGTGTTGTTAGCTTTTTTTCTCAACTCTAATTCTGGGACAAGGGCTTGATGGGACGGGGAGCTGGTAAACAAGGTGAGCGAGTCTAGGTGCTTACCATCGTGGACTGGAACAACAGCAGAAGCAGCGTGATACCGCTGCTTATGCTTTCTTTTGCCATCGACCCTCGCCTGCAGGTCTTGTGTAGTCCTGGTTGATGCGTTCCGTCTACCACGCCGATATCGGTTGGTTCACTTGCTGCGTTGCTCCAGATGGACCATCATCTTCCGGTCGATTCCAAGATCACCAGGTACTTCGTGACCTGGTCTTTGTTTGGGACACACATTCATGGGAAATTCAAGGTTATCGGAAGGCAGATAGAGCTATGCAGAAGGTCAAAGAAAACGCACCGAGCAGGCAAAAGGCACCTAAGCTATCCAGGCAGCATGAATGCAAAACAAGTTGTGGATTGATATATAAATGAACAAAAGACATCAATAACAACGCAACGCAATCCGTCATCTCGACGTGGTACTTGTCTGGTCCAACCAGGCCTACTCCTCCATGAATTCCACCCTTTCACACCTCCTCTCAAGTATCGAAATGATTCCCCCATCCCTTCACCCCCCACCTCGAACAAGATTCAGCTCCTCCATCCCAGAGACGACCCCCCAAACTTCATCCTCTCTGACGTTCATCTCTCCACATGCAACCAAAGCGCCCGTGACTCGATTGGCCGCCTTCTTACTCCGGGTCTGGATCTTCTTCGCTCGTCGTGGTCGAAACTTGAACAAGCAGCGGTGACGTAACACTCTCTTGGAGACTAGAGGCGAGGGTTGGGCTGTTAGCTTCAATATCAACTGAATCTCTACCCAACTGAGCTCTTGAAAGCTCAAGCACACGAGGCTGGAAGTAGACAGTAGACAGAAGAACAAACCTCTGAACACCGCTCGGCGTGAACTTTTAGTCTTGGTTGTCTTCATGGCTTCCTCCCTCATACCAGTGGCCTCTTCGCTTAGTTTGCTCGATCCTCTGCCCCTGATGATGTCAAGGTTGGAGCTGACGAGATGGAAATAAAATGGCTCCAAAAATGGCTCCAAAAATGGATCCAAAGATGGATGTAAAAATAGGTCCAAAATGGGTGTAGAAATCGCTGTAGAGATGGATCCAAGAATGGATGTAAGAATCGTTTCGAGATGGAAGAATATTCCGGCGGTTTGGTATTGGGTGAGAAGATGAAGAGTGGACGTAAAATTTCTGGGATGCAGAGATTTTAAGACGTCGAACCTTCTCAGGGCGCCCCACGTGCAGGCTGCTGGCTGTACCTCGTCCGCTCCTTCTTGTTTTACAAATCTTGTTTAAGGTATGGAAGGCAAGCGCAGTTTGTAGCTCTGCTAGTTCAGGAAAATGCAGTTAAGAGAGTACGTAGTTCAAACCCATCCTTGATTCGACACCAGACCCCCGTCACTTGCCCATCATTGACTTGACAACTCAATCACTCTCGCCACAGACATCCAAACTATTGAGTCTCTCCCACCTGATATTATGCTCCCTTTTCCCTCACATAATTTCCAAGCTGCAAATCCCTTCCTCCATTGCCTGCCGTGCCAATCCTCCTCTCAGTCTTTAAAATAAGGCCACTCACTCCTCTTGAGCATACGCTCTACCATCGCCTTTTCAGCAGCGCGCTCCATCTCCGCCATCTCGCGTATCTTCTTGAGATATGACGGGAAATGAGCATGTACAGGAACTATAGAAATCTCTCATGTTAGCAATGCCAGAACGATGGCCAGATGTGAATGGACCGGCTGCTGGTAGGGGATTACACACCTCTGCGGGGAAGCGGTCCGCGTCTCACAAACCCATCACCGAACTTGTCAGGTATCCAGATGTCCACCCCGGTGGTGGACGTGGTGGTCTCGTCCCCAGCTTCCTCGTCGTACTGGTCCTTTTGGGTTTGTGTCCCTGCCTCGACTTGGACGTTCAAGGGCCCCGTCACGCTGCTTTCTTTGGCCGTGGAAGGAAGTCGTTCTGGCCTCCGTGGTAGACCGCTGGCAGGAGGATTTCTGGTTGGTTTCGTGCCTGTCCATCTTGTCAAGTGGTTGGTACGTGGGAGCCGTCGTTGGCTGTACTGCACCTTGACTGACTGACGATCCCTTCGGTTGTTTGCCATGCAGTGGTTGATGACAACTAGTTTGAGAAGTAAAGGAAAAAGGAGGATGAAAGAAAAGAAGGCGGGAAATTAGCTGGCCTGGCCTGGCATCAGGGTGATAAATTCACTTGCTGCTGGAGAACAAGCACCACCAGGTACCGCATTCTTCAAGCAGTGATCGGGTTGCTCTTGGTATATATGTCTTATTTAATACTGCCATTCACTCATGTCAGCGGGAGATCTCCGATCCGGGCTAGCAGCCACTGCTTGACACCTCACTCAACACAGAATCAGTGAATGAAAGTGGGTGAGGCGGGAAGAAGGAGGATATGAAGATGGTGGACCATCCCACCTGGTAACTCACGTTGCTGCTCAGGTCTTAATATATATATATATATAGGTAAGTAGTGACCAAAAGATGGAATCAATGCACCAATTTGTAAAGCGAGCTTCAATGTATACTTCAAGTAAACTGACAGTCGACGCTGGACCCTCAGTGATGACAGTGAACCGCGGAAACTGAGCTATGGACATGAGTAGAAGCATCGTTATATATGGATGAAGTTTTTATTCTGGTATATAGAAGGCTTTCACCGATCATCAGAACCCCATCCTTTCCATTGCAGAGCTCAACTCCCTCTCAGTCTTGGCCTTTTCTCGGCGTCTTTGGATCATCCTTTGGTAGACCTGACGGATGGCGGCCTGGTGATGTTCCTCGGTAAGTTAGTTTTTGTAGCGCCGTCGTCGGTCTATGCGAGCGTTGAGAGCAAGCGAGGACGTCGAGAAAGTGTCGGGACCTATTGGAAGCGCCTCGTGTTAGTTCCCAAATCATTGAAAGGCTTCCAGTGTCAATTGGGGAGGCTAATATATCAAGGATTAACGGCTTTGAGCTTTCCATGTTGGGAACCCTTACCAGACAACGGTCGGCGCTCTTGCAGGTAAGCATGGGACCTAGTGACAGGCCCCTCTGATGCCATGCGTGTCTCCGCGGTTGTATTGCTTTGCTGTCCGTGGAGGCCCATGGTCTCTCCGAGCACCATGAACTCATTTCCCGGAGTCTGGGGCATGCTGGTAATGCTGCTGTCGGAGCTTGATCTCATGATACCAGGCGAAAGCAGGACTGAAGCTGACTGGCAGAACCCGCGCCAGTCGGAATGGCGGAAGGCTGCTGCGACGGCGATGTAGTGGTGACAGATCGCTCTTGGAGGGAATTCAGGTGTGTAAATGAGAGATTTATCTTCGCTGTCGAGACAGTGGCTGAGTCCGTGTCGGTTTCTTGCTCAAGGTGGGACCACAGCCGTGAAGCTGAGGGAGGCGGGCGAGATGATTGGTTTTGTAGTATGTTGGGAGGGCGGCGTCAAGCTGGAAAAACAGGCACTTTCAATCCGTTTCAATCTTTCTGGACCAAAGGCCAACGCAAAGAGCCCACCATCTATTCACATGCTCCTCGAGCACCGTCACTGCCCCTCATCGTCGAGATGATCTCGTGGTTGAAAAGAGCATCAATGTTCACCAGACCCGCCAGAAGCAACCGTGCCTAACTCACCGAATGACTCGGAGCATACGTCTCGCAAGATCCTGTCGTTGGTTTCAATCCCTGTGAATGCTGATTCCAGTCCAGGACAACGCGGAAAGGAGACAAAGACCCCGATCGATCTCGACTCCCTCCCAAAGCCAGCATTGTCATTGAAGCGTACAGGGAGACGCAGGAGATTGAATTTTGACCTTTACCCAAACTGCGACCTCAAATTAACGCTCAAACCAATATGTACTCAATTCCAAAGAGTTCAATCGAACAATCACTGCCCAAAAGGATATGAAATGAGTGCCAAGAGTGAAGTAATAGTCAACTGAAGACCCTAAATTGTGGCAGCAGCGGAGCCCAGCTATGAACATGGGTAAAAGCGTCGGTCTATAGGTACTATTCTTGTTGACACAAGGGTTTCCAACTTACGACGTGGGGACGGAGGCGGCCGAGACAACAACGCAGAAGAAAAACAAAGAATCTGATGGTGGCCGATAACAAGGAGAATTGACTAGGCCAGCAGGACAACAAACTTTGCTGTGAAGCCGGCTTGGGTCTGAGAAGTCGATGACGATATGTATAAGAATATTGTCATTTCTGGTAGGGGTCGCTGTGGTTGTCATACCCTTCGATTCCAAACTGGACTTTCTTCGTGATGGGCGTCCCTGATCCAAATTTGACGGCTGGGGCCATTGTTGCGCTCTTATCATCGACTGAAATGGCCCTGTTCGGTCCGCTTGTGAGGTGTTGTAATACGTCTGTGGAAATAGACGGGCTCAAGTTTCTTCAAGGATAAGGAACTCATCAACGCTGACGTCGTAATGTTAATAGACAAAATGTGACGAACCCCTATCCAGAACCTCTGAAAGGGATACTAGTCGAAGGCACTTCTGACAATCCTGGTTCGGTACAGCTAAACAGTGTACAACAAATGGCTTGTCTCAATTGCAATAGTCTAGATACCAACGATTGTGACTTGTATCTAATTGCATACTGCGGAACTGTCTATCTACACCAGCCAGTTCCTCCGTATATATAGACCAGTGGATCACCTGGATCACCATGCCAAGCGTGATCTTGGATCACCATGGATCATAGTGCCAAGAGTGATCCTGGATCACTCTCGTCACTTGCCTGCTAGCTTAACTGTGACAAGCCGCTATTTCCACAGGGCATTTATAGAGCCTTTAGTAGCCTAAATCCAGAATTTAGGCTATTTTAGGACACTGTAGCGTCCGATGCAGGGCTTCAAGTAAACTTTGTACTAAGTGGATCCTCAGGGGTGCCGGGTAGGTATGTTGTGACTGTCTTCGTGTCACGGACCTGACATAAGTGGGGAGCGCGGGGCGCGACCCGTCCAACCACTAGGAAGGGAAAAGTGGGGAAGTCAGATTATCACTAGCGCCAAGGGTGATAATCGCGATTATCACCAGCCTTCGGTGAACGACGAGTGATAATCGACATTATCACTGGTGATAATGGTGATAAACAGGTCTATATATATGGAGGAACCGGCTGGTGTAGATAGACAGTTCCGCAGTATGCAATTCACAATTGTTTTCACGGTATCTTGTGTTTACATTGAGACATCTTGTTGTGCACTGTTTAGCTGCACCGAACCAATTGTCAGAAGTTACCTTCAACCCGTATCCCTTTCAGAGGTTCTGTACAGGGGTTCGTCACAAAAATAGCTTTTAAAGCTAAATAAACCTACTGGAAGGATACTATTTAATATACTAATTTAAATTTTTAGTAATCTCAGATATAGAAACAATTTTTAGAGCAAAATAATCTACTTAATTTAGACTAACTAAGAAACTATTTCTAATATAGATACTATACTATATAAGTTATTTCTAACTTTAATATAGATATTAGTTCCTTATTATAACTTTTATACTGACTATAAGCAGAATAATTATTGTTAACGTGTGGGTACTACTAAGTGCCCTATTTACTGCCCTACAGATTGATATTACAGTGGGCAGTACTGCTATAAGCAGTAACGGAACTTCCCGGCTTAAATCCCTTTAGAATATTCTTTATAAGGGACCCTTGAAGGCTTACAGGGCTACTGTAGCCTGAGGCTTAGTCAATGGATACTAGAACCTTCCAAAGTAACTACAGGCTTACGCAGTAAGTTGCCACAATAGTATAATTTACAGGGCACCCTTGCTACTGAAGGTTCGATAGATTTCCGTGAGTTTACACTAGACTCACCTAAGCTCACCAAATACCCCAAAGTGGTATAGGGGCTTCCAGGGCCTACAAGACCCATAGTAGGCCTACGAAGGCCTATATATAGACCTCTCCTCTCTCCTGTAGAATAGTTCTTTTCTTTCTTTCCTTAAGGGCTAAAGTTTAAGGCTGAGGCCAAAGGCAATAAAGGCAATTCTTATTCCTTATACCTCACTGTATTACAGTGTTTTACCTTCCTTCGGCACTGCCGTCGTATCCTCCCGCTTCCGCTTGCGCACTGCTGTATTTTACAGCAACCCTGTATAGGTTCTATATTATAGGCCTATCAGGGCTCACCAGCTAACAATTATTAATATAGCCAGGGTTATTTTCTAGCAACTTCTACCAAAAGCTCCCCTACAGTGCTAATAACAATTACTATAAAATAGATATACTTCAGAAATAGCTCTGCTATAGTCTACCTCCAGTATAGCCTAGTCTTAGGTGGATTCAACCATTGCTTACCGTGCTCAGGGCTTTACTCACCGTACTCAGGGCTTTGCTCACTATACTCAGGGCTTTACTCACCATACTCAGCGTTTGCTCACCGCGCTCAGAGTTTGCTCACCCTATTCAGGGCTTTACTCACCCTACTCAGGGCTTGCTCACCCTACTCAGGGCTTGCTCACCCTACTCAGGGCTTGCTCACCCTACTCAGGGCTTTGCTCATCCCTACTCAGGGCTTCTCCACTTCTGCTCTGGTTAAAGCGGCGACTGCTCAGGTCCAAGAACGGAAGTGGAAATCGTCCATGTCTAGATTCCGATATTGCAATGGATGTTGTCAAAGCACGCCAGGATAGTATGTGGGGACTGGCATCGGTGGCTCGTCATATCCGGCATCCCGTCAGAGAACCGGTCTCTCAGAAGAAAGCTTGGAGGACGTCTACAACATTACAGCTATTAGCATGGATTCCATCACCATGAAAATACAACAGAACGTAGATAATCTACCTGGGAAGCCCAGCAATCAAAACAAGCCAGCCGCTCCATGTGACAAGGGCTGTGATATCAGGGCTTGGAACTCATGGTTCAATTCAGGCTAATAATCTTCAATGGCCTCGAAGAGCGTGATACTGAAAGTGAAGAAGGAAATACAGTCTTGATGATCCTGAACGCGTATTTTATCCTCCCTCGCGTGGCCCGTGCCCTTGTTGGCCTCAGGCCATCGCCAAGTCCTCCAATATCCTCCTGGGCCAGTGGGCTTCCTTTGATAACCGCCTTGCCTCTGATTGTCTGCCTCACTCCTGACGAGAGGCTCACGACGTGCAGCTTCCCCTCCTTAAGGTGATATTTGGCGTTGTTGTTGGTCATGGTTGTTGGTGGTTGGTGGTCGGCATTTGCCGTGTGACACTCCAGCCAAATATGCTGAATACACCAACTGCCATGAAGCCTCGTTCGTGTGAAGGATCTCGATGGAAATGAGCTTGAAATTGGACGACGCAACAGGAGATCTGCCAATGGTTGTCAGAGAGAACTGGGCGAGGTTGGGTTGCGGGAGGGGCAGAACCTACTGCCTTGAGCACGCGAGCATTCTCCTTGGGCTGTTAACAGCCGACAGGCCACTGGTGACCCCGGGGTCTGTCCCCCGGGCCAAGATGGGCAGGAACCTGCGCGCCCTATCAATGGTAATGCTGTTGGACCTGCTGCTGCTGTTGGTTTCTATAGAGATAGACGGAACCCGCCATCGTGGCGAATGGCTAGGAAGCCGGAGAGAGGAACAAAACTAACCCCGAGATGGCGCCATGGTACAGTACCTCGAGGAGCGAGGAGTGTAAGCCATCTGGACATACGAGAGGTTGCTGATTGGCTGATGGGAGGTTGAAAGTGACCGGATTATGGATGGAAGAGAGGAAGAAACATATTTGAGAGAGTCCAGCTGCTCAGAGGAGAGGGAACTTGCTCCTCGAGCTTCAGGCTCCTGCACCACTGGAGGGGAAGACCTATGCCCAGCTGAAGGTCCCACTTTCCTTCTTATCTGCCGACGCAAAAGAGCACTGGCAGCCCACCTTGCTCTGCTGTCTGACCATCGATACGTGTCATCGGGACGGAAGACATCATTCTCTGTCAGGGACGAAGCTGGGAGAAGGTCCGCGCCGTGTTATCCAGTGACAAGTGCAGTCACCTGGTGAATGACTTGGTCCGGCAAGATGCTTGATGTCAAGTCATGACTTCCCTAGTTGTCGGTCCAGTCAGCAAGAAGAAGCGCATCGAAAGGGACTGTCGAGTGTCGACGGGGCATCCGCCGAGATTGACTCCACTGGACTTGTCACACAGAGCTAGACACCTGCCGCATGACAGTCTCCGCCTGTCGGGAGTGATCGAAGTGAGCCCTGTCCGGCCGCAGAGTCAATATCCAGCTCTGGTCAGGGTTAGAGGGTAGGTTCTTTCCTTGCCAGCATGTTCTTGCCTTCTCACCCCCGCCCACTAGGCAGCTATGTGGTACGATAAGACGTGTGCAGGGGTCACTGTGACATCGAGGGTCTGGTTTGGCCAATATGGTCCGATGGCAATGACAATGCCAAAGATGATCATCGGAGCTGATGATTGATTGCTCGGTGGAAAGACCAGGGGCACCTTCAGTTAAGGGACTCACGGCTGTCACGATGGGTCTGGCTGTTGACTATGTCCTTGTGAGCACCAAGCTCACGATGTGTCGCTCACAAATGATACAATGAATGGCACAATCACCTTGGTTTCTCATCATGCTCCCAAGAAGTGTGAAATTGACTCATGAATCGAAAATAAAAGTACATGTTTTCATGCCCTTCCGTGCCATGCTGTCTGTGATGCTAGATCCTCGTCCTCCGTTCCTGACGCAAGAGTACATGCCAAAATGAGTCCGTCTGTTGAAATTCCATGCCAAAGTACACAAGTTGTCATCTACTCCTCCGCAGCCCCCTTGATATTGCGATCACCTCTGCCACTCCAGAACGCCTTGTTGACCTTGTCATCATTGGCCTTGGCGGCTCGGCCGTGCTTCTTCTCAAACTCGGCGTTGTGAGCATCGACCTCTTCTTGTTGCTCTTTGGTCAGGTTGGGCTTGTTGCCAGGAACGCTGGAGTTGCTGATCTTCGGTTGGGCCGGGGGATGGTGCGAGCTCTCCAACGGTTCTCCTCCACCGGTGCGGCCCTTAGCGCCACCTTGGGCGAGTTGGTCGGGGATAAAGCCGGCTCCAGACGAGCCTTCGCCCTCGCCTTTCTGGACGGCATCCTGCTCGATGGCTTCCTTGCTGCGAGAACCGCCGCTTTCAGCGCTAGCCTGCTCCGCCGCCTTAGGGGAAGAAACATCGCTGTAAGATCGGCCCGGTCTCACGCCGGTGATGACTGGAAATGCCAGTCTGCGGGACATTGGAGTAGCCTGGGCAAGCAAAACGCGAGCGGTGAAGCGGTTCATGATGATGGGTGTGGTTGCGTAAGGTGGTGACAAGAGAGGTCTGAATGTGATTTGTTTGGAGATGTGAGTGCCCGGTCTGTTGTCGAAGGTGACAGGCTAAAGTTGATGATTGAAAAGGTTCAAATTTGTGTTTAGGATGAGAATAATAGCAGCAAAGAGCTCTTGTTTGGTAAGGTAGGGGCTGTTGAACCGATGACATCATCAGCATCATCCCTCCAATTGTGCCAACTTGGGCGCCAAGCACGCTCCTCCTGCCCCCCACAATTTCAGGGGCCAGGTCCCGTCACTGTGGGGAGCAGTGGATGTTGTGTCACTGTGGGGTTCACAGGGCATATGCCGCCATTTGAGACATCGAGACCATAGTTCATCTGTAGTGAATAATGACTATCTTCTTCTCTCGGATTCGCATTCGGCAAGACTCCATGAAGCCATGTCACTGTCCCATTGGGAAATTTCCGCGACACGCCAAGATACCGTACCACCCCTACCCACCGGTTAGCTAGCCCCACGTCAACATGGCCGTTGACCCCCTCCTTTGTGTTATCCCTCCTGCCTCGATGTTACAATCATACAATCAGACGAGATGTTCACTGCGCGGCCCGTGCCTTCCTGAGCAAATTAAGACCGAACCCTACCTAGTACCCCTTTCCTAGTAAAAAGGCCGCATATTCCCGCCGTGCTCAGTTGACTGTCACTCTCAGGAAGCTGAACCTGACTCGATCCCCCACGCTGAACTTCAACAGACTCATCGAACCCAGAAGGTCAAATCCGATCTGGGTCGGCAATTTCGTCTGAACCAGACCTGGACCTTCTCTTTCTCTCTGTCCCGAATAACCTCCAGAGTGACAAAAACGAAAACATGGGTTCCATGGCAGCTGTGCTAGACACCTCCGCCGCGCCCGCTGGCAGCGCTCAGCAACGCATCGCACCACAGCTGCCCACCACTGCCCGCCTCTTCCATGCGACCTGTGCCTTTGCGGTGCAGAAGCTCCTGCTGCCCCCATGGATCTTCCTCAGAAAGGTGAAGACCTACATCATCTCACCTGGGGAGACGTACCCCGACCAGATCATAGCATACCCTGCTCTGAAGCATTTACCCATTCGGTAGGACCCTGCTACGTTTTGGGTTGACCGAGAATTCCGGTTCGATGGCTCACCACATTTCATAGAATCTTCCTACCCCCAGGCTATGACCGGACCAGCACCAAACGCTTCCCTGTGCTCCTCACCATCCACGGCGGTGGCTTCGTCCTGGGCAACCCCTGGGACAATGACCCCTGGAATCGCGCCTTCTCCAGCAAGCACGGCTATCTCGTCGTATCACTCAATTACAGCAAGGCACCTGGCTCCCCCTTTCCCAAGCCCGTCTACGACCTCGAAGCCCTCATCCAGCTTGTCTTAGCCGACACAACACTGCCCATCGACTACGACAGGATCGCCATAGCAGGCTGGTCAGCAGGCGCCAACTTGACTCTAGCAGTCTCCCAGCTCGACACCGTCAAGCTCCACGTCAAAGCCGTTGTCCCTCTCTATCCCGTGGTTGACTTTGTCCCCACTCAAGAAACAAAGTGTGCCGGCCGCCGCTACAAGCCCGACCTTGGCGGATTCCGCGGTAAAGATAAGGACTTTCTGCTCGCCATGTCGCCGACATTCAACTGGGCTTATCTCAACCCCGGCACTGACTTGCATGACACACTCCTCAGCCCAGCACACGCCAAGAGGGAAGCACTCCCCAAAAACATTTTTATGATTGGCTGCGAGCTGGACATGTTGGCTCCTGAGGCGTGGAGGATGATTTGCAGTCTGGCTGGCAAGCGTGTGCCGAGAGAGGATGAGGTGGTCGGAAGGCAGATGACGGCAAAGGAGGGAGAGCTGATCACGGGCAATGATGATCGGTATGCCTGGGAAGAGGTGATCAAGATGGATGGAGGGGCGAGATACAAGTGGTTGTTGGTTCCGGATCAGGTGCATGGGTTTGATCAAGACAGCATTGGGCACATGGTGGGCAATGATGTGAAGTGCTTGAAGGATGCCAAGATGAAGACGGACAAGATGATTGAGATTATTGGGGGTTGGCTGGATGATGTTATGGATGTTGACAAGTGATAATGGGATCATCTTGAGGTGTATATGACACGTTGCTTCATGTTCTTGGTGTGTTCACTTAGCTAGCTGTATCGCACGCATCGAGATAGAAATGCACAACAGTTGACTGTCAAAACGTATGCCGGAACTCAACACCCTAGAGGCGAAAACCCATACTCTGTGCGGTATGCATTGCTACACTGGAGTCGCCAAGCCTCAATTCTCAGCGCAGAGGTCATAGAATCAAGAGCAGAACTGAATCGATTGAAAGCCATGAAGTGATTCTAAAGGACGACAACTTCCTCCAATAAACCTTTTCACCTAAAACCTCGTCTCCCTCGCGATGCTGGCCGAGACTAACAGGATCGATCCCGATTGGGAGGTTTACGCGCCCAACAAACCATTTCGATCCGTTCCAGCAACCCAAACCCCCTTGCTAGGTTCAGATTGACCGTGGCCAGACCAATGACACCGACTGAGCGGCTTTCGGCTACAGCACAAACGACATCTCAAACCCCCCCCGTCACCTTCCCCCAGATCTCCAGCAGTACCATAACCCCATAACAGCACGCCCCCGCCTCAATGACAACCCTTTCCCATCCCCACCTCGGATCCAACCTCCGTAACATTGGCAATCCAGCAAGGAAGTAACTCGCGTACCCCCACGATCCCACCTTCAACATTTTGGATCGATCACCATAGGTGAACCACTCCGTCATCAAATCCGAAGCCATGAACCACGTCTCCGCAAACGCCAGCATGTAACTTAGGGCGAGGACTGTCCCCAGCCTTGCGAGGGGTCTTCTTGGGGAGATGTACTCGTACAAAACCAACAACAAGGAGTAATAACTGATGAAGTAGGCGTGTGTTAGGGGGTAGAGGAATGCGGGAACGGTGTGCGTGACCTCGCGGCGGAGGACGTCGCTGTCAAAGGTTGGGAGGAAGCCCGGGAAGGTGTATCTCATGGACATTAGTTGGAAGAAGTAGGCTGTGCCAAAATAGGTGCCGAAGAAGACGAGCAGGGCGATATACACGTTGAATTTGAGGGCGTAGGATGAGGTGTAATGGTGAGAAGACGGTCCGCTGGAGGGGGCATTGTCGATGGCAGCGGGCCCGGGGCGAAAGGGGAAGAAGAGGGGTAGGAGAAAAGGGGGCGAGGCGACGAGGAGGGAGAAGGTGAGGTAGTGGGCGTTTGTTGTCCATGTCGTCAGGGAGGAGGTGAGGACAACCACGGCGACAGTGGAGAGCCAGAGAGGGGAGTGGACGAGGAGCATGAGGCGGTGGAAGTGAGCTTTCTCGTCGCCCGCCTCGTTAGGTGGCAAGAAAGGGGTCGAGGGCATCATTTTGGTGTCGGGGGCGTGGATGGCGATGGTGGTGTGGCGGTGGAGGAGCGAGCGGTCGGCCGTGAGGTCCTGTTTTTGCCCAGAGATTAGCAGAGACACTATGCCGTTTGGGGTAATTGGAGATCTTAGAGGGTATCGTCCAAGTGCAAGCACAAAGCCATCCATGTCCAAGCACACAGCAAGGCAGCACAAAACAAAAAGTAACAGATATAGATAAGGGATAGGTAGGTAAAAGGATTTGCGAGCTCGGCGGCTCAAATAGCGACTAAAAAGTCCAAAATCGGCCAGTGGCCGCGTGCCGTCGCCCAAGGCACAATCTTCTCCCCGTCCTCGTTCAGCGCTTCCAGGCGGGTTTCCCCGGACGGCGCGAACGTCCTCATGGCCCAGAAGCGGGCAAACTCGTTGAGCAGCTCGGTGGACGACCAGGCGTCCACCGGCCATTTGCTTCGCCAGCCGGAGAGTTCTTCGTCGATGTAGTCTAGGACTACCTGGGCTTCGTCGCAGCCTCGGCGTCGCTCGCGGGTGTTTTTGCTTCTGGAAATTGAAATAAATAAATATTAGCACAGAACCAACGTGGTTGGAGGAGATGGTATTGAGGCTTACGAATTGTTGGATTCCATCTTGGTTGATTTTGTTGATGACTGTGGAAAGGAAGTCAAAAGAAGAGGATCCAGATTTGAAAAAGTTCACAGCTTGAAATGCAAGCCAACTAGGCCCTAGTAGTATTCTGAGGAAAGGTGCTCCTGCTGGACGTCGGGGGGTTGAGCACTTACCCACCAGGAGCAAGTCTCCATTCTTCCGTCACCGGGAGCACACTGAGGAGAGAGCCTACTGAACGGAACTTGGACCACAGGGTTTCTCTGCGAGGGCAACTTGCAAACAGAGTATTTTTGGACCATGGCATTCGGTGATATACAATAAATGTGTCGCTTACACATTACTCTTGAATGTCCATATCTAACTATGTGCGTAATTATAAAATCCCAAGCACACTTGACATGACAAATCGTTTACAGTCGTCCAACAGTCTCTTTCATGATCTGTTCCTGAAAAAGATTCAGAACCTTGGTTTCCACCGTGTCACAAGCCGTTGTTGCTCCTCCATCTTTGCAATCCTATCCTGAACAATAGACAGCGCGGAAGGGCCCTCGTTGTCAATGACACGGAGATCACACTTGCCGGTGGAAAGCAATGTGGTGATTATACCCATGACCCCCTCTGGCCTCTATGCCAAATGCATCACTCGACAGAGAATGTTCCTTCCAAATGTGTCTTTTGCCTCCCCGTCCGCCCCACCCTCACTCATCAGGTACTTCGCCACGTTCAACTTCTACTCGACTGGAGGACAAAAGGAACTCCACCACTTCAGCCCTGTCCTCCATCGCGGCGTGCGCTAGGGGCGACATACCGTGATCATCACGACAGTCTAGTGACGCGTTCAACTCCTTGCAGAGCTTGAATAACCAGTCTGCCTCACTGGGCCGGTCTCTGTAAAGATACTGGCCATGGTTGAGCTGTGACCAAGGCTGTTGTTCTGTGGTGAGGAGGAAGAATGACAGGGTCTCGTCTTCGGTGTGGTCATCATAGTGGTACTTTTGTCCCTTCGCGTTAGGCTGGATTTCTCGATGTGATTTATCCAGTACCAGGCATCCTCGGGTGTAGCGACATTGAAGCTCATTCCAATACGGCCTCTTGACTTGATAGTAGAGAAGTAGTTATCGTACAAGTTTCTCAGTCCTCCGCTGTTATCAAGGTGGAACTTCTTCCTGTTGGTGTGAATATTCAGGAATACTTGAACGACTGAATCACCCCTATGGACACGTGCCGCAAACAGCGGGCACATGTACGTAGCGCTCTCTGGCTTTAGGTAGTCGTCTAGGGTGCAAATCTCTTTGCAGAGGCCGGGACGAATCTTATTCAGCCAGTATGTAGAGAAGGCTAGCAGGTCTGTCAGGGTTGCAGATGGCACTGTAGCGACCGACATCAAAGGCCTTCAGCAAGATGGACTGGCCGATTCCATTGTTCTGAGCTATTTCCGCGTGTCTGAATATATTGCCGGTGGCATATTTCAAGAACGGGTATCGATGCTTTCGCCTGCTGGGTTTGGATCCCTTTTCCAAGATTGATGGTAACCCGACAAGACCTCTTCAAGAAGTCATGTGTACGGCCCACGAAGCTCTGGCTCATGTCAGGCCACAACTGAGATATGACCTTCGGGGGAATGTAGGAAGCTTCTGACGGAGTTGTGGATGAACTGAACAGTAAATAACGGAGAGCCGTTTTTTGACAGTGGAGTTTTGCGACGAAGGGTGTAAGGGGAAAGGTCGTCTTCGCAGAATCCGGCAATTTCAATGAGACCTTTGGAAGCATCCGTAATGAACCGATGGATGTCCCCAAGTGTAGGTCTACAGTCCTGCCAATCTGCTGGTTTAAGAGTGAAGTGACCCCTTAGCTTCTTTCCACACAACAGTCCAAAATAGAGCTCCTCCGGTGTTGATGGCCGTTGCGAATGGAGCATCCACTGAACACTGAGCAACAAATCATCATGTTCGTCTTTGCTCTCGGCATTCTTCGTCATTTCGTGGAAAAAAGCGTGTAGATCGGTTGGTATCTTGTCCAGCGTCCCCCATACGGAATAGATCCGGCCTCACGCGAGGTCCTTGTTGAGCATGTCGATAACCAATGCGACCCATATGAAAACTCCATTGGCCCGACTCTGGAGGCGCTCTTTTAACTCGTCCGCTTTCGGGTGTCTCCCTGGTTTGAGTTTGATGTTGATGTACTTGATAATGTCGTCCGTGTGGCCTTGTTGAGTCTCGAGGTCAAACTTGAGGCTCCTCTCAAGGTCAAAAATTGGATAATGCCTGCTTGAGAAACAAATACGAACATTCCTGCCGGTGGAAACAGCGTCCCGTCCAAGACTTTCAAAACTTGATAGCATATCACCAAGCTGTGACTCGTTACACTCGTCCCAGTGCGTCAATGTAACAGATGAGCGGCGTATTCCCCAGCCCATGGACAGACTGCTCAAAGATTGCCCTCAGTGACTCAACGCTCTACTTGTGATTAGACTGAAGGCAATCTAACGCTTTCTGCAGATGCGGCGCCCTTTCCAGCAGCCGGAGGAGCAATGATTGATACATTCCCTCCACTGACTTCTCTAGCGTTTCCCCGCGGGCATGGAAGAAGAACGAAATGATAATGTTGTCCCCGGAGCCGGATTGGTCCTGCTCGTGGGACAAGGCGAACTTCATGAGTGTTGACTTGCCTGTTCCGGCGTGGCCTCTGATCCAGAGAAATCTGTGATGTGATGGTCCTTTAGTTTTGTCACATCTCGCCATTAAAGATGCTCGTCTTTGTCAAGTAACCACTGGCAAGTATCGACGTGAGCACTCTTGACGGTGAGCTGACGCACATCGACCCGATCAAATCGCAATGAGTCCAGAAAGAAGTCTACTTCTTTGAAGCCGAGGATTAGAAGGCCGGGGCCCGCCCGATCGTGACTGGTTACTATGACGATCGCGGCCTGAAGGAGCAGTGGCGAGATCGACAAGCGCGCCGGCCACCTTCTTTGAACTCGACATCGTCTAGACCGCTAAAGCGGCACATATCCATGTGGTTTCGGGCGATATGTTGAGTGGTGTCATAGGTCGGTAAATCCATAGAAGATGATGAGTCTTCCACAACCTTCGTGCCATTGAGAGCTTGAAGTCCGAGCTCCTCCTGAAACAAGTGGGTCTTCCAGCCAATGAACTCGGTGGTAGGGCCAAGCTCGTCTCTCAATTCGCGGAGCCTTCCTGATGTGGGTAGCAGGGTATCAATGATTGACTTATTGATCCTAAATGCCAAAACTTTGGCAAGGGCTTCAGCCACGCTCTTGAGAATGCCGCGTGGTTCAGCTCCTCGATGGGGTGTTTAAAAGAACATGAGACCCCTGGTAGATTCAAAAACTGTTCTCAGCCCTGCTTGACCCATGAGACAGTTGCTCGAACGTCGTAGCATCTCCTTGACAAGAATACCACCAAGGCTGTGAGCCACAATTATGACTGGTCTATCGGGGTCGTGCTGTCTGAGAGCAGATATCTCCTGCAGGAAATCCCAAGCAATGTCATAGACCTGAGTGCGGTTCAATGGGGGGTCTAACCAATTTGTGCCTGATATGCGTATCATGCCCGTAGGTAAGTACTCGAGCCTTTGGAAGAATCTCCGGGAGTAGATCGCGTGCCCAGTACACAACCTTGGATGTTGCTCTACCTAGCACTCCTCCATTACTCCAATTCTATTTCGTCAAGATTGCCAATCACGGTCAAGCCACTTGGTGGAATATCCATATTCGACATGTTTGGCTTTGGATAGGACTCAGGAGGATTGCAGGGAAACAGTTGAATGGACCTCTCGCAATAGTTGATACTCGGATCGAATCCAACGAGACGATGTCTGGTTGCGTGGTTTGCTCGTGTGTATCCACACCGTTGCCAAGTGTGAGAGGGATATCGTAGTGGAAGGTCGATATCCAGTCCAGGTACCTTGACTTGGGCATGCGGGAAGAGGACCGAGAACCTGAAAAGCGATGAAACACCCCACTTCATGAAATTTCCATTTTCTGCGGGAAGATACACCAATGGCGGGCGGTAGCTGCACTCCGCCACAACCATGCACTCAGCCTCCTGCGGTCGGCCGGTCAGCCCTCAGCAGTTTGAAGGTCAAGGCGTTGGTCGAGAGAGACGGTTAGCAGAGGTATCAGGGACCATATACGCGCTGGATGTGCTCAGGATGGAAAATGCGTTATGTATAAACTCGAAAGAACACCATGCTAGGAACAATATGCTAGATCAATGTCAGAACAACCCTCAACGAGACGAATGGAAAACAAGGAAACGTACAAAGCTAGCACAGCCAGACATCATGCCATATCCAACCCCCGCCCCCTAAACCAAAACATAATCATCCCAATCCTCCTCCCCAACCCCAGCGACACTAGTCCAAATCTCCCTCCCAAACGCCGTCCCCTCCGCCCTATCATCCGCCGCCCAAACCTCCATCACCGAGTTCTTCAAGCTAGCATACACCCCATCCAAATGATACAATCTCTCCACCCTCTCCTGCACACTCCCACTGTTCGCATCAGCAACACAGTTCCAAACCCTATCCTTATCCGCATACCACCCCTCCGCCCTGTGAATCCGATCAAACGCCTGCTTCCTGAAATCCAAAACATCGAGCTGTAGATCGTGGCCGACAAACATCTCAAATACTTGACCGGCAGAGTCAGTAGCACCCGAGCGGAAGACAGGGCCGAGGTCGATCTCCGTGGAGCCGTCGACTTTGGTAACCTTCCAATGCCCCGCCCCGCTCGTCTTGAGGCTGGCCTCGGTAGCAGTGTGCCCGATGAGCCTCACTTTCCAGTATCGGTTAGGGCTGGTGTGGTATTGGGAATGCGGGTTCCTCTCGGGGCCAATAGTCAGCCGGCCTGCCTTTTGGTTCCAGGTAATAGGGGTGGAGGTGAAGTTCTTGCGGGGATCGTCGTGAGGAATCTCGTAGTGATGGGAAGACGCATGGGGTTCTTCGAGGAGGTTGAAGTGGGCGTCTTTGCCCACGACAAGGAGAATCGTGATTTCTTCGGGGCGAGGGGTGCCGTTTGAAACAGTCGGGGTGGTGTCCAAGGGGATGATTGTGCCTTCTTTGGCGAGGACGGGGATTTGATCAAGGGGTCGATGGAGTTGGATGTGTCGGTTGCCGGTGTAGACTATGTGGGGGGCAAACAGGGAGACGTATCGGCCTTCGGGGAGCCAAGCTCGGGTAGACGAGGTCAGGGTGATACCGTCGTCGGGTGACGTGATTGGTGCAACGACCAGATTAGGGCCGAAGTAGTACTGAGTGGGCACGTGGTAGGCCTCTTCCGTGTGTGGGTGGTTCCAGTACATTGGCTGGATCAGCGGCTCGGCATCGAATGCTGCACGGATGTTCATGGTGTACAGGTATGGCACGAGTCGGTGACGCAGAACCAAAAAGTCCTTGATTATTCGACCTGGTTGGGACTCGAAGCTCCAGGGCTCCTTGCTGTTCCAGAGTGACTTGGATGAATGCAGACGGAGGATGGGCGAGAAGACGCCAAGCTGGACCCAACGAACGGTGAGCTCATTTGAGCGCCACCCACCCCAATGTCCACCAATGTCGTGAGACCACCAGCCATACCCAATGTTGGAGGCAGTGGCCGTGAACTCGGGCTGAAATTGGAGACCCGCCCAGCTGATTTGAGTGTCGCCGGAGAAGCCAATAGGGTAGCGGTGGGAGCCGGCGCCAGCATAACGGGAAAAAGTGATGGGCTTCTCGATTGTTTTGACATTTCTTCGGCTGGTGAGGTAGTGATAGTGGTTGAGTACCCAAAGGGGGTCAACGCCGGGGATCCGAGAGCGCGTTCCCTGCTGCCAGTCAATCCACCAAAAGTCAATACCTTGTTTCTCCAGTCCAACTTTGAGCACATCAAAGTAGGCATCCATGAACTTGCGACTGCAGCAATCGAACCTGATAGGTTCCTCGCGAGATGTGTCGTGGTTCAGGGCCTTTGCAACCTCCTTGTACTGGTCTTCGAATGCGCGGATGCCGTCAGCCGGGTGGTCATTGACGGTAACCTTGAGTCTGCGGTCGTGGAGCTGCTTGAGGAACTTGTCGGGTTGTGGGAAAAGGTCCCTGTTCCAGCTGTATCCTGTCCATCCAGACCCGTACTTGCTAGGGATGCGCACTTTGTGCCAGTCCATGTCAATAACAGCGGCACTGAGTGGCACTCCCTCTTTCTGGAAGTGATCCATCAACTCGAGGTACTCCTCGGCCGAGTATGCATGGTATCTTGACCACCAGTTGCCAAGGGTCCATCTCGGGAGGACCGGCTGGCTGCCTGACAATCGATAAAAGTCCTTGATAGCAGCCTTGTGATCTCCATTGTAGGCAAAGATGTATCCATCAATCCGACCCGGCTTCCTCGTTGCGATCCATCCATCAGCGTCGAACAGCATGGACTTGCTGTCATCGAGAACGGCATAAGCCCTGCGCGAGAGGACACCAGGGTCCAGATCCACCCTTCCCCAGGCACCATCCAGTGTCCTTGCTGTGCCGCCTAGATCGCCATAGCTATTGCCGTCGTACCTCCACACATCATCGGCAACTTTGACTGAGAAACCATAGGTCGAAAACTTCTTCTTGTCGTACTGCAGATGAAAATGATCGGTGATGATCTCTAACCGGTCCTCCTTGTCGACCGTGCGGAAGGCCGGAGCGTCAAAGTTCCGGAATAATGCAAAGGTGGACACGCGGTCTTCGAAACCGCCATCCGGAGACCACTCGTAGCGGATGAGTTTGCTGGTCAGAATTGTGAAGCGGTAGTAACTGCCCTTGGTCCCGCCGGTGACAACAGCTTTGGGGTTGGCGGATGGGTTGGATGGAAATGAGTAGCGGTCTGTAGTCGCATCTGTGTCTACTACCGGGGACCTGGATGAGGAAGGGGTCCCCGCTGCTGTGGAACGGGAGAGCATGGGTGCGGCCGGAGAGCTGGGCTTTGAGCGACCAGCACGCTTGATGAAACTTAGAGCCGACATGATGGTGATCTTGCACTCTTATACTCCGCGCGAAGCGAACGATATCAAGCACGGCTTCGAGAATCGAGAGACGGAAGAGGTTCGCCCCTACTTGTTCCGTTTGTTGTTTCAGACAGCACGCCGTTGTTTGCTGGCAGTCCCCGGTTGGCCGGCCATGCCAAGAGCCCTGGGTCAGGTGCCGTTCCCCTGGATTGTGGCACGGAGCTCCATCCGCGGGACCGCCAAGACGTGATTTGCGGGGAAGACCCACAGCCCCGCTCCGTCAGCTTCGTCTTGATGCCAAGGAGAGCTGGAAATGAGGTTGCGGTCATACATGAGGTACCATTTACAGCCAGGCATGATGAACAAGGCTTTGGCGAGGGGGTCTTGGTGGTCATATGAGAATTCGATGTGGGTAGTGGTGAGTTCTGATGTTGAACGATAAAGCTAAGGTACCTATCCAAAGATCTTAGAAGTGTGGTATCATCTGAATCCATGACGGTGTGTGGTAAACGCCCAGTGGTACGGCTCTCAGACTGGCGAAGGATTCCACCACAATATACAGCCGAGCCCCAGTCAAACACAGAATTCCCGCACCTAAAGTACCATATAGCAACACTTCCAGGACGAGCATTACCATGACCAGCAGCTTGTCACGAACGTCGTTTCGAACTGTGATGTTCTCGAACGCTTCAAAAAGCTGTCCCACGGCGGTCATAAGAAGCTGCCCAGCAATGCATGCCGGCATTGTGAGAACCATGGCGAGTGAAGAAACCTTCCATAATAGAGCCTCAATTTGAGTTGGAAAGATGAAGTCCCAAGCCAGCAAGTGGATGCTGCCATAAATCGCCGGTACAAGTGTCAGCACGAGAAACAGATACACCCTTCCTTTGAGGTGTTCCAAAAGGTGGGAAAAGGTGTAATCGTGAGAGCCTCCCTTGTGATCATGCTCAAGACTGCGCAAAGCAGAGCTAGAAAAGTTCGCAAGATTGCCGTGGCTTTTGTACACATGCCCAAGCCGGGCATCAGCGCTCAGGAGGTCAACATTAGGATGCTCAAGTTTGCGAAACCCTCTGATATCAAACGGTTTCTGTACGCATTAGTTAGAACGAAAGGTTTGAAACGCGGGTCGACATGGGCAGGGAATCCATGATCGGCCATACCTCGAACCAGAAAAAGTATAACATGATAGCACATGCGACATGTACCATGGTGTGCAGCTCTAGGAGACTTATAGGCAAGCCGTATGCCTTGCGGGATACACACTCAATGACCATCCAGCTGACCTGTACAATGACCAACAGCTTTTGCAGCACGTCGGCTTTTGTTTGGTCCAAGATGGTGGATCTTGGTATTCTGAAGGGCTTGATATCCTTCTGGGCTAGAAGCAGCGCGCCATGATGGGACAAGATGACTGTCTTTCCGTCTAGTTCAGCTTCGAGCCCTCCCATCAAAATATAAAACCCATATTTCAGGTCGAAAATGCACTGGGAGGTCCGTTAGTATGAGATGAGACACCGGACATGGTAGATTAGTACTCACACTATCATTAATAGTGCTTGAGCTGGAGCTCTCATGACTCCCAATCTTCTCAATGTCGCCTGTGCTTCTCGTGACATTTTGCTTGAGCATCTTGTTCACGACTTCGTGAAAAGTTCTGAGTTGGGGTGGTCCGCTGATCTGAAGCTGTTGTTTCTCCTCAAGGCTCAAGGCGGCAGCCAGCTTCTTGGCTTTCCACCACTGCGCAGACGCGTAAAACAAGACGAGTTCGGGGAACAAAAGGGTAATAAACATCCACTTGATCCTCTTAGCCACAAGCTGAACGTTTGTGATGCCTCGCTCGGGGATGTTGAGGTGGAGAGCCGTGTAGACACAGGCGAAAAGCGTCAGCAAACAGCTCCACAAAATGCTGGTTGTGCCCCCTCATGGTGGGTGCCGAGACCCAACCGGGTGCTTTCGTGTCATGGAGCAAGGAGGTGTTGTGCTTTATCTGGTGGATTTGATCGTACAATGCTTTTGCTGAATCTGATGCGGCCCCGAAGCTGGCTGGTAAGATGAGGGCAGCAAACCCAAAAAGAGGTTCTGGCTTCATGATCGCTTTATCTTTCCGAATATGGTGGCTAGGAAAGTGGAACAATGGAGTTGGGAAATCCAAAGAGTAATGAGAGCATTTGAACTTGCGTTCAAATACCCATATTCGAGTCTTCCAAAACGCTACTCTCGAAGCAACTCCCATTTGTGGACCTTGATTGATTTGAGTAATGGAAATGGGCGGCAATTGGTCGCGATGTCTCACATTTGGAGCGTTGAGCGAGTAGCGCCCAATGGCAATACAACACGGTCGATACTGCAGCCACGACCATTGCTGTCTGAAAGCCCAACTGCGCATTCATCGACATTATTCCAATCTTGTCAAACCACGCTCAGTTGCCTCGAAAGCGGGTTGGGCAAGCTGGAGCTCTACAAGAGGGTTGGACTGAGCATGCCCAAGCGCAGGCGACGTGTCGGTCAGCGGAAAATGCGCGGCGACACTGCTCCTGCAAGCCGAGCTTCATGCAAGATGCTTTCTAAATTCTAGGTACTTTATGTCTTGATACATGGGTACCTTAGGTAATGTGACAAAGTCAAGGTGAGCTGGACACGGTGAAATGCACACCAAAATGTTACTGACGGCGTAAGGTACCTAAGTAAGGCAGTCAAGCCTCCGGCTATGGAGACCGACGGAATGGATGAGTAGGTAGTCCATGACTATCGTGAAGGGGATAGCTTGGTGAAAGACAACGGTGTGACCAGATAACGAGCTATACCGTGACAAGCTTCCTTCTTGTTTCTCGATTCAAACCAGGAGCAATGTGCCAGGTCCTTAGCATCGCACCTACCAACTCGGAAGCTGCTCTGTTCCTGCTCCACTAGGTAGCATGGCACCTTCCAGTAGCCAAATACACACATGATTACAATGCCTTAGGCAGACCTCTACTACAGCCAAAAGAACACCTACCCGCACCAAAGCAATGGCCTTCAACTGCATAATAGATGCCTCATCTTCTCAAAATAAGGCGTCAGAAGATAGTGCCGAGGCATCTTCGTCTAGAAACAAGGCCTTCGAAAACACATTCGAGGCCTATTCAATCGACTACGAGACCCCGCCAACTTCTCCCGACGCCTCCTCATCTTCAACGAAGGCCTCCTCCGTCGAACGTGACCTCAACGCCGAGTTCGACAGGCTCTTCTGCTCCTACTTCAAGACCGTCGAAACCGTATCCCAGCCGAAAAACGTCGAGCCCCCCGTCTACCCTGTCTGGGACCGCTTCTGCTTCCGAAAGCCCGACGTCGGTATGCAGCACGCTCAGCTCACCAAAGAGCTCCTCATGCGAGAATGCACCGGCAAGCCCTTCCCCATGATCGAACAGCATGGCCCTGATACGACCAGAGAGAGATTCGGGGACGAGGTGTGGAACATTCACGACTTGATGCAGCAGAGTCGGGACATGAAAAACCCACCGGAGATGGTTGACGGGGTGGTGGATGAGCTCAACGCAAGGGGCCCGCCGCCGGGAGAGATGAGCAAGTTCTTGATCAAGATGATGAAGGATGAGGCGCGCTATGTTGGAAAGAGGCTGTATGAGCAGGTCTGAGCTGTGAACGGGAGATTCTTGATGCTTTGGAGGGAAGCAAGCATATTTGCCAACCAGGCTGGCGTGGAAGTTGTCTCGTTTTCTAACGATTTCAGTAATATTTTGGTCCTTTCACCAGGAAGCAGAGACTAGCATAATGAAGCGGAGGACCATGGAACCAACTGATTATCATGTACATACCTTACTTATTCTGACCATCTCAAGACTGGAGTGCTCTCTGGGAGGAAAAGAGTCATCGAGCCAATCATAGGCACTTATACCATTCCATGATGCCTCGATGTCTGTGCTACGTGATAGTCTGTGCTACGTGATAGTCTGGACCACGGCAACACACCTAACCCACTAACACGAAGTTCCTCCCCTGTCCGCCCCGCTTACCCCCGGTCTGGCGCGCCATAGCGTTCTCCTGGTTGTGGTAAGACATCTTGGCATCCCCCAACCGCGCCCAGCCAAAACAACGTTCACCCGTCATCCCCAAGCATCATCGCCACCATCTCCATTCCCCGCCCCCATTGACCCCTCCAGCCCCGCGACATGCAGTTGACCAAGTCCCGACAACGAAAACTCCAGAATAAACTACACAGATCCCTCCCCATTGAGGGGAGCCGCGAGTCAGAACTGTTTGTCCTCCCTTCCCTGTGTCCTTGTCCTCCATCTCCAAACTTCCCCACTAACAAACTGTCTCTTCTTTATCAGATGGGTCCAAAACACCAACTCCCCGCTCCTCCGCCTCCCCCCTGAACTCCGAAATCGCATCTACGAGCTCGTGTTATCCGTCGGCCAGATCCAAGTTATATTCAAAAAGTATCAGTTCAGGGCTATCAGCAACGGCGCGAATAGTAACAACACTCATCGACCGCTGTACGATGTTGTTCCTGGGGGGTTCGGGTGCATGGTATTTGGGCGGGAGGAGAACCCCTGGCCTACGGTTCACCTTAAGCCGGTGGGACCCGGGCAGAGGATTCCGGCGGCGTATCAAAACTGGAAAAGAGGCATGACGCTGCTGTCGCCGGTTTGTCGGCAGCTGTACCATGAGACGGTGCTGTTGCCGTACAGGTTGAATGCCTGGTCGTTTCATACCATTGCGGTGATGGACAGGTTTCTGATTAAGGAGAGGAGGCTGCCTAAGAGTCATATGGGGGCGATTAGGGTGTTGTATAGTCAATGTGTTTTGACCGCGGCGGTGGAGAAGAAACTTGGTGGGTTGGAGATGGTGCTGTTGGATGGGGGGGCGAGGATGGTGAAGAGGGTTGTGGAGGTGGACAAGGATCATGGAGACAAGAGGGTTGTTTACTGGGATATTGAGAAGGGGTGGTGGAAGTGATATTAAGGGGGGGGGGGGGTTATGGCATTGTTTTGCGAGGTGGGTGTTTGGCGCTGGGAAATTACGTGTTCTGCAATAAAACATGTACAACCGAGTCATTTTTGGAGGCGGACATCAAGCTTTACTTTTCATCTCATACGCTCTCCCATAGTTCATTAATATATCTTCTCATAGCCCAAAACAACCGTGAGCTGGCTTCATTAGTGCAATAGCACGATGTTATCACATAACGTATTTGATAAGCGAGCGGATCGGACAAGCGAGTGGATCGATTTCCACTACCCTATTACAACCATCCTCAATTACAAAACAATAACACTATTAACCTACTACAATTACATCAGAAACAGCTGAATCAGACTCTTCTGCAACCTCCTGGCACGTACGGATATTATGGCCAGGCTTGCCGCACACACCACAGCACTGAACCTTCGTACGCCCTCCCCCTACACTACCACTACCCTGCTCCTTTCCTTGCGCTACCTCTCCACCCACAGCCTTCTAGTCTAGTAGATCCTGTACATCTTGTATAGTAAGTGATCCTCCAAGCTGTATACGTATTTTTTTTATTTTCCGGCGCTTACTTAGTACCTCGTTTGTTTTATAGAATAAAGATACTTTTAACTAAAGGAGAGTTATTTAATATATTATAATTATTATACTTTTAGTAAGCTAGTTTACTATAATTAATATTAAAGTCGGGAAATTATTTTAATAATTAATAATACGAATTTTAATAAATATTAATTATAAATTAGTTTTTCGGGGGTTTTAAAATATTTAAAATACTTAAAGTAATATTATACCCGGCCTTAAGGATAGGGGTATAAACGTATAAAGTTTTATATTTAGTTTAGAAAGTACTTTACTTTAAATTATATAGTATAAGGCTAGTACCCGTAAAGCTACTCTATATATTTTTCTCCGTTATAAAGGCGAAAAAAGTTTCGCGGAAGGTATAAAGAAACTCGAGTTTACTTATATAATTAATATATATATATATTAAACCCTTAATTTAACGGCCGTATATTTATTTTAATAGCCTAAAATAATTAATATTAAGTAGCTAGAGGAGGTAAGAGGAATATAAAAGTATATAAAGCGTAATAATATTATTTTATTAATAATAACGTTTAAATTTAATTAAATAATAATTTTTATAATTATCGAGGATTAATAACCGGTATTTACCCCTTATACGAAACGCTATATAATAATCGAAATATTTAATTTAATTTAAATTTATCGGATTAATAATTTAATTATTATTAATAATTATAATATATTAAATAAATAATAAATTATATTTAATATATTAATTAATAAAATAATATTATACGGTTAAAATAATAAAGGGCGGAATAGCCTAGCCGAAGGTATTAATTCCTTAAATTACCATTACTTACTTACGGTTATTAAACTAAATTAATTTTACTTTATTAAAGCTGTCCGAAATTATAATTATTATACTTATAAAAATAATATTTATTATAAACCTAGTTTTATCGAAGTTATAAATATTATTATTTATAATATTATATTTAACTTTAATATTTTATATAAGCGTAAACTACTTAGTAATAACTTTCGGATTTTCGCACTTAGCTCTCTAGTAATTATATTTATATATAAAACGCGTACGGAACTATAATTAACGTTTAACGAAGTTATATACTTAGCGTTAACTAATAGGGGGCGCGTCGCGTACGCGTAATAGTTAGTTAACTATATTTTCTACGCTACTTAATTTAGGTAGAAATACGCGTGTAGATAGCTCAAGAACGTACTAAACTATTGTCTTCTCCTCCAGATCCGTTAAATTGCGTAAGTTAGCTAGAATATCGTGTCATACAGGTTTACCAGCGCGCCGGCGATGGAGGGTAGTATAAGGCACAGAATAGAGCCTCGCTGCAGCTTTGAGGCTTAGTTTAGGGTTATTTTTAAGGGCTTCGAGTATAAGAATAACTTTTGTTTTAACTAGAATCGAAGACATCTTAGTATGGTAGAGGAAATCGATGTTGCAGGTAGAGAGCTATATCGCGTACGAAATCGATCCACTCGCTTGTCCGATCCGCTCGCTTATCAAATACGTTACTGTCTGTTTCACAACTCAGAAAGGACCACAGCGCGGAAATTACAATAGCACAAGGTGAGGGATTGGATCATGTAGAGGGCACAAAGACTGGGCCAGGTTGATTTACGGATAGTCCTCTTGGCTCCTTCCCTCCCGTCCGTTCTACCAGTTAGGCAGATAGCCGGCGCTCCGCAGACTTGCCTCCTTCTGTGAACAAGTTTTCAGAGTTCGGCAGCCCTGATCTGTGTCATGATGGTTCCAGCATGCGAGACTGGAACGTTCTTTTGATCTCCAATCATGGGCCGTGATCTGGCCATCGCGGTAAGGAGGCTTGAACGCGACCGGTCAAGTAAGCATCCGGTCCACGAAGAATGGCACACAGAAGACTCGATCCCCGCTTCTGACGCCATACTCGAGCCATCTGAGCAGTGCGCCTTTCTATATTACCTTCCCCGCGCCTAGGCTTGAGCCTGCTCAGGTCCCCGCCCCTGACCGGGCCTAGGCACTGACGTGCTCACATGGAGTCCTCGTATTTTCCTTCTCTCCTAGGGAAAGAGCCCCGGAAAATCTAGTTCCCCTGGCAGGGCTCAGTCACCTGACGTCCCACCGTAATTTTCCTGGTATATCCTTTGATCTCTGAGAATTCTTCAACTCATAACCTTTTCTGGTCAACGCAGTCCGCATCGCCCTCGGGCAACGGATGAAGGTCAGCCTTCCTCTCTTCGTCCTCATCTTCACCGTGTCACCAATCCCAGAGCCTGGCTGGCGCGTCGTTCCTCGCAGACCTTGGTCCACGCCAACTGCACTGTATCCAAGCCGATGTTCTCTTGTCTGGCGCGTTCGACCCTGTCAGGTCGGTGAGTCTGTCCCACCCACTCTTGTCCTCATCTCCAACCATGACAGATTGGTTTGCTGACCACATTCTCCTCTTTGCGAGGATGGGCAGCGTCAGACCTTTTGACTATCTTTTAAGGCCTATTAACTATCTTTTACCCTCATGGAGGGATCCTGTCGGGCTCTCATGCCCATCATCTTGGTCACAGCTCCGAGGGCGTAGACTCCCTCTCGAGCCAGTTCGGTGCGATGAGTCTTCCGCCTAGCAACGGCCACGAAGCCTCCAATATGTCACAGATCCAGCAGCATGGATACATAACCAGCCAGGAGCAACCTGTCGCTTACCAGGGCTACTCGTCCAGGGCGGGTTTCCCCAGACAGCGCGAACGTCCTCATGGTCCTGAAGCGGGCAAACTCGTCGAGGAGCCCAGGCGTCCATCGGCCGTTTCTCTTGCCAGGACATGACAACAAGGTTTATTCTCCCAATCAGCCCACAACATGGCCTTTGTGCTAACATTTCGGTGAAACAGAGGAAGAGGCGGACATCACTGCCCACGGCTCCCATCAGCCCACCTGCCCAAGGCCCTCTCGACGGCTCTCACATCACTGCCCACGACTCCCATCGCGGAGAAGCCCTGGGCGCTCTCAAGGTCAATCCTGCCATTCCAAGGCTGTGTCGGCGGCGTTTACCCCGCCCACGCACGTCGAGTCGATTGAGCAGTGTCTGGATGGAGTGGAGCAGAGGATTGATGCAATGCACTTACGCAAATCTCGGCCGAGCTGATCAAAGGGTGGTGTTCAAGGGTTGCATGCAGCTCACGGTTGGCGGAGAGCTCTGGTGAGCTTGGAGGGAGGAGCACGTGCTCGAGTATCTCTATGGGCAAGGTATTCTGCTTGGGTTGGTGGCTATCTTTGATCAGACAATGCCATCAGTTCAATTACATGCTTCAAATCAACTCTGTGGCTTCGTCAGCTAAATAGAACCTGTGTCCGCCACTGTTTCCACCTGTATCGAGTGCTCTTAACCTGTTAATCAACCCTGGCCATAACATCTTTGAGCAAGAGGTCTGCGAGTCCCGGCTCGGCTGGGATTGGTTTTGCACAGAATCTCTCGACCGTGTTCTGATCTCAAGTACATTTTTACACATCAATCCCACGTCATATAGCCTTTCAAGAGTTTTGGGCTCCCTTCCTCGACTCTTCCACACACGGCAATCCTTTGAACTGCCAATGCTGGCTCTTGTGGTAGAAGCGGCCCAGGCTACTCTGGGATTTGAGCGTGTAGGATGCGTGTTGTCCCTGGCAATGATGTGACGGAAACATGTCGGTTGGTAGTCTTATTTCTTACAAGACATACGTTCTCTGTCGATACCCATCATCAATTCATCCCTGAACAGTTCGCCACTTGCAAGTTTGTTTTGTCGAGTCACTTTCGGCTGGTCTTGGTGCCATACTTCCATGTTTGCGTCATGGAATAAAGACGTGACTAGGGAGGTCACACCAGATCAGCGTTGTCCGTTTCATCCCCATCGAGGGTGATGCATATGTGAGTAGATATTTTGAGCGGGAATGACTCGGTCATGAACCCTTTCATCTTCTGGTTTTGCCTCAAAGCTGTCGTGTGCTACGATGATCGGTCTGACGTCTAGCTCTCCTCGGCTTGACGCTGTGGTATCATGCTCCCCAATCGTGGCTGTTTCTGCTCGTACATGACTGGACTGCTGTTACCTTGTCCTGTCTATTGTTGGCCGGCAATGAGTCAAAATACAGGGCACGTTATATTGCGGGAAGCTGGAACTGAATGATGTGATATTCGTAGATTCGTATATAGACGAACATTGTGTCAACATCTCCCAGAGGGTGTGAAGTTTGCGACCGGTTTCTTCCAACCTAGACAGAATCAAGGCTACAGCAGCGACAAAGCTCCGCCACAAACGCCCGGTAAGCCCGAGTGGAGGTAGACTCCTTCAAAGCCAGGAAAGCTATCCCTGGAATACCATTCCTTGGTCAGACAATAGTGAGCTGCCAGTTGCTAGCACCACCCAAGCAAACAGCGCCTCCCTGTCATAATTCACCACCCCGATCCACCACGACGACCCAGTGAAAACCAAGCCAACAACCCCATTCCACCTCCCAGTCCTTCCCCACCTAGCCCACAGCTGTCTGGTCCAAACGCATCCATAAGTACTTTGGTCCCTTCCCGCCCTTTCCCCTGGGATTCTCCAGTTGAGCCACCAAACCAACCCACCACCCCCTGTCGTTGTCTCCGACTATCAAAGCGCAGGCAGGCCCCCTGTTCTTTCTTTTGAGTCCGTTTCCAAACGCCCTCAGTCCCATCCCAGCCCTGAAAACGGATCACCAGCGCCAGTTCACCACCCTCCTCAACAACCTCTGGGACGCGCTCATAGTCCCCAACGCCGCCTCCTCCGCTTATCCCTTTTCCGGCTTCCACTCCCTGCTTGAAGAGTTGGGTGTCTGGTCGTACGCCTGCGATCTCACGACTGGGGTGTTGAAGGTTTTTATTTCGGGGTAAGTGAAATCTGTCAGGTAATCGTGTCTGTTGTGCGTGTGGGATTGTGTATTCTTCATCAAAGGGGAAGGGGAGTTGGGTTGTTATTAAGGTCGAGAATAAAAAAGAGTTGCTGACTCTTCAGTAGTCTTGACACGGGTATTTCCCTTCCCCGTGCCAGGATGATTAGCGCTCGCTTCCCGCTCGCTTCGCCGCGGTGGGAGGGGGCTGCGGACGCTGCTGCGTTCCCCCCGCCCCTAGGGCTTTTCAGGGCCCACCCCCCCCCCCCAACCCCCTGCGCTTTAACCGGCGAGTTTTTTTTTTA